CCCCCAAAAATCCCCCCCCCCCATTAAGGGATTTGGGGGTCCCAAAATGTCTCTGAGCCCCCCCTAGAGAATTTGGGGGTCCCAAAAATCCCCCCCATGAAGGATTTGGGGGGTCCCAAAATGTGTTTGAGCCCCCCCAAATTCTACCCTCAGAAAATTTGGGGGTCCCAAAAATCCACCCCCGATTTGGGGGTCCCAAAAAATCCTCCCCATAAAGGATTTGGGGGGGTCCCAAAATGTCTCCGAGACCCCAAAAATTCCTCCCCCTCACTGAGAATTTGGGGGTCCCAAAACATCTCCGACGCCCCCAAATTTCTGCCCCCCTCAGAGAATTTTGGGGGGTCCCAAAAATCCCCCCCATGAAGGATTTGGGGGTTCCCAAAATGTCTCGGACCCCCCAAATTTCCCCTCCCCCCCCCGAGAGTTCGGCCCCTCCCCCCTCGTCACCCTCGTCCCAATTAAGCAATAACGAGCTCGGGTGAGCTAACGAGCCCCAGACCTGGGGGGGGGGGGAGGGACTCGGGACACCCCAAAAATGGAACAGGGACCCCAAAAATGGGGCTGGGAACCCAAAATTTGGGTCAGGGACCTCAAAAATGGGGCTGGGACCCCAAAAAATGGGGCTGGGACCCCAAAAATGGGGCTGGGAACCCCAGAAAATGGGTCAGGGACCCAAAAAAATGCATCAGGGACCCCAAAATGGGGCTGGGGACCCCAAAAATGGGGCTGGGACCCCAAAAAATGCATCAGGGACCTCAAAATGGGGCTGGGGACCTCAAAATGGGTCAGGGACCCCAAAATGGGGCTGGGAACCCCAGAAAATGGGGCTGGGACCCCAAAATGGGGCTGGGACCCCTAAAAATGGGGCTGGGACCCCTAAAAATGGGGCTGGGAACCCCAGAAAATGGGGCTGGGGACCCCAAAATGGGGCTGGGACCACCCAAAATGGGGCAGGGACCCCAAAATGGGGCTGGGACACCCCAAAAATGGGTCAGGGGTGGGACCCCAAAAAATGGGGCTGGGACCCCAAAAATGGGGCTGGGAACCCCAGAAAATGGGTCAGGGACCCAAAAAAATGCATCAGGGACCCCAAAATGGGGCTGGGGACCCCAAAAATGGGGCTGGGAACCCCAGAAAATGGGTCAGGGACCCAAAAAAATGCATCAGGGACCCCAAAATGGGGCTGGGGACCCCAAAAATGGGGCTGGGACCCCAAAAAATGCATCAGGGACCTCAAAATGGGGCTGGGGACCTCAAAATGGGTCAGGGACCCCAAAATGGGGCTGGGAACCCCAGAAAATGGGGCTGGGACCCCAAAATGGGGCTGGGACCCCTAAAAATGGGGCCGGGACTCCAAAAAATGGGGCTGGGACCCCAAAAATGGGTCAGGGACCCCTAAAAATGGGGCTGGGACTCCAAAAATGGGGCTGGGACCACCCAAAATGGGGCTGGGAACCCCAAAATGGGACAGGGACCCCCCCCAAAATGGGGCTGGGACTCCAGAAATGCACCTGGGATCCCCCAGAATGAGTCACAGACCCCCTAGATGGACCCAGGACCCCAGAATGGCTCAGGACCCCCCAGAATGGCTCAGGACCCCCTAAAATGGATCCAGGACCCCCTAAGATGGATTCAGAACACCCCAAAATGGCTCAAAGACCCCCCAGATGGATTCAGGGGCCCCCATAATGGCTAAAGGCCCCCTAAAATGGATTCAGGACCCCCTAAAATGGTTTCAGGACCCCCTAAAATGGATCCAGGCCCCCCCCAAATGTCTCAGGACCCCCCAGGTGGACTCGGGGCCCCCCCAGATGTCTCAGGACCCCCCAAATGTCTCAGGCCCCCCCAGATGGACTCGGGGCTCACCGGGGCAGGCAGGCGAGCAGGGCCCAGGTGCCCAGCGTGGTGCCCAGCGAGTGCAGCGCGTGGGGGCCGCAGGTGAGCAGCGCCAGCCCCGCCCCCAGCAGCGCCCCCCCGAGCTGCCGCCAGCGCGGGCCTGGGGCACGGAACGAGGGGAGGGAACAGGGAACGAAAAACGGCACGGGAATGCACCCGAGTACCCCAAAACCCCCTCAAAACAGACCCAAATGCACCAAAACCAGCGCCAAATCAGCCCCAAAATGAACAAAGTAACAAAAAACGGCACGGGAATGCACCCAAGTACCCCAAAACCCCCTCAAAATAGCCCCAAATGCACCAAAAACAGCCCCAAATCAGCCCCAAAATGAACAAAATAACAAAAAACAGCACGGGAATGCACCCAAGTACAGCAAAATACCCCAAACCCCCTCAAAACAGCCCAAAATGCACCAAAACCAGCCCCAAAATGAACAAAGTAACAAAAAACAGCACGAAAATACACAGAAATACCCCCAAACCCCCTCAAAACAGCCCCAAATGCACCAAAACCAGCCCCAAAATGAACAAAATAACAAAAAACAGCACGGGAATGCACCCAAGTACAGCAAAATACCCCAAAACCCCTCAAAACAGCCCCAAAATGCATCAAAACAGCCCCAAAATCAGCCCCAAAATGAACAAAATAACAAAAAACAGCACGGGAATGCACCCAAGTACAGCAAAATACCCCAAACCCCCTCAAAACAGCCCCAAATGTATCATAAACAGCCCCAAAATGAACAAAATAACAAAAAACAGCACAGAAATATACTGAAATACACAAAAATGCCTTCAAAAGGGCCCCAAAACACCACGGGAATGCACCCAAGTACAGCAAAATACCCCAAAACCCCTCAAAACAGCCCCAAAATGCATCAAAACCAGCCCCAAATCAGCCCCAAAATGCACAAAACCCAGCCCCAAAATATAGCAAATCAGCACAAAATGAACAAAATAACAAAAAACAGCATAGAAATATACTGAAATACACCAAAATACCCCAAAACCGCCTCAAAACAGCCCCAAAACGCACCAAAACCAGCCCCAAAATGCACCAAATCAGCCCAAAAATGCACAAAAAGCCATAAAACAACTGAAAAATGCACCAAAACCCTACAAAACAAGACAAAAATGCACCAAAAACACCCCAAAAATGTATCAGGAATCCATAAAACTCAAAACACCCCCAAAACGCACCCAAAACACCCCAAAAATGCATCAGAAACCCATAAACCAACATAAAAATACACCAAAACCCCACAAAACAACCCAAAAATGCACCAAAAACCTTTCAGAAGACCCCAAAACCCCCTCAGAGCAACCCAAAAACCCCAAAAAACGACACAAAAATGCACTAAAACCCCACAAACCAACCCGAAATGCCTCAAAACCCCTTCAAAGCAACCCAAAAATTCACCAAAAACCTTTCAAAACACCCCAAAACCACACCAAGAACCCTTTAAAACAACTCAAAATATTAAAAAACCACCAAAAACCCTTTAAAACACCCCAAAAATGGACCAACTCCCCCCTCCCCCACCAGCGCCCACATCCGCACCCAGATCTTCCTGAGGGGCCCCGAAACACCCCAAAAATGTATCAGGAATCCATAAAACTCAAAACACCCCCAAAACGCACCCAAAACACCCCAAAAATGCATCAGAAACCCATAAACCAACATAAAAATACACCAAAACCCCACAAAACAACCCAAAAATGCACCAAAAACCTTTCAGAAGACCCCAAAACCCCCTCAGAGCAACCCAAAAACCCAAAAAAATGACACAAAAATGCACTAAAACCCCACAAAACCCGAAATGCCTCAAAACCCCTTCAAAGCAACCCAAAAATTCACCAAAAACCTTTCAAAACACCCCAAAACCACATCAAGAACCCTTTAAAACAACTCAAAACATTAAAAAAACACTAAAAACCCTTTAAAACACCCCAAAAATGGACCAACACCCCCCTCCCCCACCAGCACCCACATCCGCACCCAGATCTTCCTGAGGGGCCCCGAAACACCCCAAAAATAAACCAGAAATACCCAAAATATACTCAGAAATCCCAAAAAAAATCTTAAATAAAAATAAAAAACTCTTTAACAGCCCCAAACCCCTCCAAGAGCCCCTTGAATCGCCCAAAAGTGCCCCAAAATCTCCTCAGATCACCCCAAATCCCCCCAAAATCTCCCTTAAATTTGCCCAGCCCCGCCCAAATCTCCCCAAAATTCTCTGAATCTACAAAATTCACCTGGGACCCCCCAAACCCACCTGGGACCCCCCAAAAAATCACCCAGGAGGCCCCAGAACCCCTCCAGGATCTCCTCAGGACCCCCCAAATTCCTGAGGACCCACCAAATTCCCTCAGAATCCCCCAAAACCCCTCAAGACCTCACAAAACCCCTCAGGATCCCCCAAAACCCCCGAAAATACCTCAAATTTTCCCCGAAATCCCCTCAGGATCCCCCCCAAAACCCCTCAGGATGCCCTAAAACCCCTCAGGACCCCCCAGATTTCCTCGGGATCCCCAAAACCCCTCAGGACTCCCCCAAATTCCCTCAAGATTCCCCCCAAAACCCCTCTGAACCCCCCAAAATACCTCAAAATCCCCTCAGAACCCCCCAAACCCCTCAGAACACCCCAAAAATACCTCAAGATTTCCCCAAAAACCCTCCTAGACCACCCAAAACCCCCTCAGAACCCCCCAAAACCCCTCAGGACCCCCTAAAACCCCTCAGGACCCCCCCAAAATCCCTCACGACCCCTCAAGGTTCCCCTCAAAACCCCTCAGGATGCCCCAAAACCCCTCATGATTCCCCCAGATTCCCTCAGAACCCCCCAAACCCCCTCAGAATCCCTCAAGATTCCCCCAAAACCCCTCAGAACACCCCAAACTCCCACAGAACCCCCCAAAATCCCTCAGGACCCCTCGAGCCCACCCAGAACACCCCCAAACCCTTCAGAATCCCCCAAATCTCCTCAGGGCCGCCCAGATTCCCTCAAGATTTCGTGAAGATTCTCTCAGAACCCCCAAAACCCCTCGGGACCCCCCAAAACCCCCCCAAAATCCCCCCTTGGCCCCTGCGCGGCTCCGCGGGCTCGGAGCGGGGGCGGAGGGGGCGTGGCCTGCGGAGCCACGCCCACAAACCGCAGCCCACACGGTAGGCCACGCCCACAACACGCTCCTTTTATGGGCGTGGTCATTATAAAGCTCCGCCCCTAATGGGCGGGGCCACGTTGGTATCGGGGAGCCCCCATGTAGGGATTTTGGGGGCGGGGTTTGAGGTTTAAAGGGGGCGGAGCTAACTGGGTGGGTCCTTTAAGAGGATCTGGCCCTTTAAGAGAGGGGGAGGGGCGTGTGAAGAGGTGTCTGGCCCTTTAAGAGGGGGTGGGAACCACCGGAGAGGGGGGGCTTTTAAAGGGGCCTGGCCCTTTAAGAGGAGTGGGCCCCACACATGGGGCTCTGGCGGGGTCACGCCCTTTTAAGACGGTTTTTAAAGGGGTCTGGCCCTTTAAGGAGCCTGAAGGGTCCTCAGAGTGGGCTCAGGGCCTTTTGGGACGGGGGCAAAACGGTGTTAAATGCGCTTTAACGGCGGTTTGGCCACTGAAAGGAGGTTTTAAAGGAGGTCTGGCCCTTTAAGGGGACGAAACCCACCGGACTGAGGGGGTTTTAAAGGGGGTCTGGCCCTTTAAGGCTGCCGGGGCCCACAACGGCGCCATTTAAAGGGACTCTGCCCCTTTAACCCGCTCTTAAAAGGGGCAGAACCCTTCCCACAGCTTTTTACAGGCCGTGGTGGGGCTCACTCAGCATCGCCGCTTTAAGACCGCCAGCATTCACGCGGCCACTTCCGGGAAGGCGGGAACAAAATGGCGGAGGGGCCTGCGGGGGTCCCGGGGGTCTGCGGGGACGGGGAGCGCTCGGAGACCCCCGGGACCCCCCCGGGCTCCCTCCCGGAGCGGCCCCGCGTGCGGCGGCAGCGCGGGCGCTTCCTGGTGTGGGCGCCGCGGGCGGCGCGGGCGCTGCGGGAGCGGCACCGCGTG